TATCACACAGGATGAAACATGGGTCCATCACTATGATCCTGAGACTAGTTCAGTCGATGCAATGGAAGCATGTGGAGTCACCACCCCCAAAGAAGGCACGTGTTCAACCCTCTGCAGGCAAGGTCATGCTCACGGTGTTTTGGGACCAGCACGGAGTAGTGATGATGGATTTCTTGGCAAAGGGTACCACAATTACAGGAGCTTATTATGCTTCACTGCTGTGGAAATTGCGGGACGCTATCAAGCTTAAGAAGGGTGGCATGCTGATCAAGGGTGTCCGTCTCCTGCAAGACAATGCTCCAGTACACAACTCTCATGTTGCCCAGACAGAAGCACTGTCCTGTGGCTATGAAATCCTTCCACATCCTCCTTACTCTCCTGACCTTTCACCATCTGACTTCCACCTCTTTCCAACCATGAAGTCATTTTTGAAGGGAAAACGTTTCACAGATGATGAAACACTGATTTCTGAAGTCAAGTCCTGGTTTGAGACGCAAAATGAGGGCTTTTACAAGCGAGGTCTCCATAGTTGCATAAAACGATGGGAGAAGTGTGTAACTCTTGGTGGTTCCTATGTGGAGAAAGACTAATACCTATGCCAAGTTTCATTCCACTAGGTCTATCGGAAGTGGGTCAGGGGAAATCTTTAATGAACACCCCTCGTAAATGTATATGGAATACAAGCTAAACGTTTCTATCAGGATGAAAGGTATCTCTTACGTCATAATGGGCTGACATTGCAATGCTGTTCAAATATTTTTACTTCCTCCGTGATTGAATATATTACTGTGAAACAAGATGGCGCATCCACACCAGTTATTGGTGAAAACATTTCTTTAAACTTCTTGCATAAGGGAATGTTATTACCTGATAAGGAATATGGTAATATGATTTTCCCAAACCTTTACATACCACTGAGTCCATGACACAGCATCGCAAACTTATCCAGGGCGGGTGCAAGAAATTGTGGCTGTCTCTGGAAACAGGCACGAGCAATCTTTGAAGAGCTTCAAGTCACCAAGTAGACCTGTTTTCATTTTAGGACATTTAACAACATACTGCAGTCAAACTGTTCCTTTTTCTCAGCCATGTTCGCAGCAACGCCATTATCACGCCCAAGGTTATGGTATCATGTAGCGCAACCAACACACAAGCATCCTTGTGTTTTAACTACAATAGTTCAGGACAAAACTATACTTTATTACACTACACTTGGGGTTAGAGAAAACTGTATTTCTCAAATACATATTCATGAAGACATCTCTAGACTTAAATGTCGTGATTTATGCATGGTGCATGTTCATGCACAGTGCATAATTTAGATGTTTGTTGGGAGCATGATACTCCCACTTGTGGTTTTTGTTTGGGGTTTGAAGTGTAATGGTATATGTGATGGCATCACAATTCATCATTGTTCATGGCAGTTTGAATGGGGTACGCTACCTGGGCAACATCATTAGAGATCATGTTTTGACCTTTGTGCAAATGCTGGGATTTGATCTCATTTTTATTCCCCAACACGAAGGAATGGGTGCCATCCGTCCGTCCTTCCATCCTTCAGTCAGTCACATTTCGTTTCCGGAGCAGATCTTGAAAAATGCACCATATTTCTTCACCAAACTTGGCACGAAAGGTAGATAGGTCTACTGGTGAACTGGTGAACTGGTGCCTTTTGATAGTTTGGGATTTTAAAAAAAATTATTTTTCGAGTTTCCATGGCAACGACTTTGACTTAGACTGAAAAAAGGGGGTAGTCCTCGTTTCTGGAGCAGATCTTGAAAACCGTACCATATTTCTTCACTAAACTTGGCACCAGGGGTCCGGAAACGGTCATATGCGCCGGACATGTCCGATTGGGAATCTCAAATGTCCGGTTTAAAATATTGCTTACTGGACATTTAAATTTTTCTGTCCAGACATTTTGAAAAGTATTGTCGAGACATTCTTAAATTTTGACCAGAAATGATCAACTCTTAGGATTGAGCAGTTTCTGTCTGCAGTTGTAACACAAAAAAGATTATCTTCACTGACAAGCTTTGTTTGTTTTGATTGCTGTAAATATATCATACCTACATGATAGTCCAATCGGTCAATCACTGTAATAGGCAATATACTGAGTTGACACTGATTGGAGACACTGAGTCAAGGATTCATTACTGAGAACATCTTGTTAATTTGAGTGAAAGGTGTTTACAACTGTACATAAGTACCTTGCATCATGGATGTACCTCGTTATCCTCAAAATGCTACGATACGTAACCTCAGATTAGAAGCGAAAGCGTGACGACAGCCAATCGACCGATGCAGATCAGTCGAGCGGATATGCCAAACCCTCAATGTCTGGGCGATCATTTTGTAAGTCGTGCTTAACGACTTTCACATGGTTGACATACAATGAGGATTTGCAGATTTTACTGTTTTCAGTAGCTAGTCGCATATTGAATCTTGATTGACTGCCATTTTGTTTTCTGTGACGATTGATATCATATTTTTTTATGGTCAATAATCAAGTACAGATGAAAAAAGTATTCAAATAACTATTGCTATCAACGATATTTTAGTATTTGGGATTATATTATCTGTCTTGTTTTTAAAAATTCTCTAGTTTGAAAAAAAATCTTTTCCTGTGAGGTCACATGATAGCTAAATATGGGATATAGCCTCGATCCATATGTTACAATGCATACACTTGAGCAGATACAACTCATGAATATTAATAAGACCGTTCACTACGTTAACAGATCGTTATTATAACGGAAACAAATGCATGTTTTCCATGTAATTCTAAAATGATATTATTTGTTACTAATTGTCTGGTGAATTAAACAATTCAAATTTAAACCATTCATAATTCATCCTATTATGAAAACGTAACAACTTGTAATGTGTGTGAAAAGTCATACTAAAATATGCTATTTGAAGGGGGCGTGGTCTAAATGCAAATGTCCGATTGGGATTTTAAATTTTCCGGACCCCTGCTTGGCACATAATGTCATCTCACAGTATTGAATACATTTCCATTCTTGTTGGTAAGTTCTGCATTGCTTGTGTGTGTTCCTCCAAAAGTGTCATGGACACGGTTGTTGCATTCATTGACTAACTTTATGCAGAAACACAACTCATTACAAATACAGCAGTGTAACTGATCTTAAACCTACTCAACTGTATAAACACTGCCTCCTATTCTGTATATATTCTTGTCAACCATACTCTGTACTTCACTTGCTTGATAACGGTGTTAGAACCTACACCAAAATAATCGATCATAATTGTAATGAAGAATATGTTTGTCCATTTGTCTCGTCCTTACTCATTCCAAATACAGTTATATATTCTAACATAAACTGCAGATGGGAGTTTAAACACCAGTAATAACTTTTTTTTAGTGCTGCTAATAAGGCCATTTACAAAAAGGCCCAGTGAACATAGTTCACAGGAGTAATGCATTGCACACAACCGGACATGTCATACAGGCGGGGGATATGAGTATTTCATGCTTGTTATTTGGACATTATGGATATATTACGAGTTATTTCCCTCCTATGTCCCTTGTATTGACCAATCAGATTCCGCATCTCATATCCCTGGCATGAAAAGATTTGGAAAGTATCTGTCAACACCCAGTAGATGGCACACATGCTCTACAGATCCTGCAATCAACTGAAATGTGCCAGCAGTTGCCATGTACCGGTACTTTACAAACCGGAGGTCGATTTCCTTAACACAATCCTGATTGGACTAAGCATAGCATCGTTAGTCCAGCCAAATTTAACTCAGAAATTCCAGCCTAGTTCTGCGAGGGTGGTAATTTATAAGTTTTACAATTACAATTCCAGTTCAGCGTTGCAAAATGTGAACTACAATAATTACCTGTGCTGATAAAACCTTGCTTGCACCTTGCAATTTCTCCCCTGGCTTTACTTTGGATGTTATGCCACTTTTTTTTCACCTCCACAGGGGCTCTGATGCATTCTATGATTTACATAAAAATATTCCATTCTCAACTGTCTAATGTAAATTTCAGAAATAAACGAATAGGTTCTGGATATGACAGTTTGATATAACTGATAACTTGTGAAATAACATTTATTTTTTTCTTTCCCTGTAAAGAAATACATTTATGTTAAATATAATACAATACAATCTATAGTTCTATCCAAAAAAATCCTTCCGATTTTATGTGCTGCTGTGAAAATTTGCCAAAATACTAAAATCTTGAATAACAATCGTTACACATAATCAGCATATAGTTTATTGTAAGAGTTTACTTCATGGTGATATGGGGCGGTCGGTTAACCTTGTGGTTAAAGCGTTCGCTCGTCACGCTGAAGACCCGGGTTTGATTCCCGACACGGGTACAATGTGTGAAGCCTATTTCTGGTGTCCCCCGCAGTGATATTGCTGGAATATGGCTAAAAGCAGCGTAAAAACATACTCTCACTCACTCAGATGCCCAATAGTTAGTCAAATAATAGGTAGCACTGACCTGGAGCAGTCTCCTCATCAAAGCATATACCCTGATCAGAAGCCAGATAATTACAATGGTTACATGTCAAAACAATAGATGATGGGATACAGTGGACTGCAAGACTATGAACTTTGCTCTATCAACTTTTGCAATGGTTATTCAATGGAAGCTTCCTTTCATGAACAGTTGTTGAAAAAGAAATTTTCTGATAACAAGTACTTATTATTGACCAAGAACACATATTTTGCATTACTTGAAGAACTCAAAGAAACACATATTGACGATGTGTTTGACATCTTTATGAGAGGTCATGTTTCAATTTGTCATGGTGGTCAGGACAAAATGTTGAAAGCATTTATTTTTATATTTGTTGCAAAGCTAAGTGTTACCTTATCATTTTTACTGATAACATAAATGCTATTTACAGTAGATTTTAGCTTTTGAGGCTTGTGACTTTTTTTCAGTAAATATGTTGATGGAGCCTGTACTTCATTTTGGTATATCATTCTAGTTTTTCCTTTTGTTATTTTAGGTGTTTTGAGGACAAGGAAAACTTTGGACCGAGAAACAACATGTTTCTATCATCTCCTTGTGGCAGCTGTTGACGGGGGAGGAAACTCTTGTACATCTGACATACTCATTACTGTCACAGACATAAATGACAATAAACCAGAATTTTCCTTAAAGACAACAACATTCCACATCCCAGAGAATGCACAAGCTAACACTCTACTTACTCGAGTAACTGCAACTGATAAAGACAGTGGTGAGTAGCTATTACTCAATGTAACAATTGAGTTTCCCTGCCCTGACCTGATAATTGAAGACAATTATTCCAGCACTAAGAATACCTAACTTGTGTTTTTTGAAGCTCTGTAAGAAGATTGGTTAATTTTTAGGGGCCTAAAGTCCAGGGTATTGAGTGTGTTGTCCATTTGAACACTGAACAACAATCCATGGTTCTGTATATGCTCAAACACATTTTTTGCATCGTAATATTCCACTCACATATTCAACAGGCGTTGAAAGTGTGTAGCACAGCTTCTTTGAAAGCCAACATGAAGTGGGAACCCCTGAAGAAAACAATGAAATCAGCTGTTTGAATCAGAGGTGGTTATTGTAATTAGAAACTTCTGACCAATTAGAATCTAGTATTTTCCAAAATTTATCATAGAATGACAATTTAGCTTGTTTTCCCAGCAATGGTATCTCTTAAAAATGCTTACAGAATTCAAATCTCATTTTAATGAAGGCCACAGTGGCAGCCATGTTGAAAATGTTATGTTTACCCTAGGGCTGGGACAATACTCCTAAGTGTGCAATCCGATTCGTATCACGATACCTTGCTCACAATCCATTAAGTATCATGATGCTTGCACGGGCTCTTATCAGTTATGTGTAAGCCATCTTTTTCATAGGCAGAATGGCCAAATACTTGGCACATTAACTATTTACTATTGGCATTGTCAAGTATGGTGCAGTGGATGAAAATATTTACCTTTTCACTCCTCATTTTCACTAGTAATTAGTGTTTAGTGCAACTTTATTAAAGAATACATTTAAGGTTAAAATCGATACTTTTTACTTAGTGTGCAATCCACATCTCAGACATTTACACATGGATCATTATGAAATTTGGTCTGTTCATTCTGATCTGATTTTAAGCATGCTCACTGATGTCATTTTTGGCTATGCCTCAGCAATTTCTTATCACCATTTAGGTCATGCAGAAGTATGTTTTATAAATTATCTGCATACATGTGAGCAATGGCAAAAAGCAGTCTTTCACACATGGTTGAAAAATGGTTGGTGTAAAATGTAATTGATTGATTTATGGCCCTTTTCAGTTGCATGTGACCATCTCGCCGAAAGCGCGTGGCAGATCATGGCAATACGCTCTAAATAAATCAGGTTAAAATCTAAATATACACTATATATAAAAGTTAAGAAGACTTTGGTTAATTAGTCATGGCTGATTGTTTTGCAAAAATACAATCTTATAATTTTGGATGTTCTATAACTAGTTTTCGGTAGTATATGATGTTACAGTGTGTCATAAGGTTGTCCGTAAATGTTCTTTTTGACATTTGATGTATGTTTAACTTGAATTGTGTTTCTTGTCTTGTGCAAATCTACAAATATATGTACTTGCATATAGTAATTTGATAAACACTGCTGTGAGTGGGAATGGTTTCACGTCGCTTTTAACAATAATCCAGTAATATCACGGGGAACACCAGAAATGGGCTTCACACATTGTACCCATGTGGGGAATCGAACTGGGTCTTCGGGTTGACGATCAAACGCTTTAACCACTAGGCTACCCCACTGCCCCCATCGCTGTGGCGTTACCACAGTTGATATGTGTACTTGTGTAAAAAACTACACATATGGAGAGACATAATTAGTGTGGCCACATAGTTAAGGTTGATAACAATATGAAATGCATTACTATGATTATCTATAACATATATTAAATCAGCTATCATTATAATATGCTATGTATATCTTAAGTATAGTTTTGTCAAAATTATGTATGTGTGTGTGTGTGTGTGTGTGTGTGTGTGTGTGTGTGTGTGTGTGTGTGTGTGTGTGTGTGTGTGTGTGTGTGTGTGTGTGTGTGTGTGTGTGTGTGTTTGTGTGTGTCCGACTCATTGTCTGTGTAAAAAGATAGTAGATAACTACATAACTCACATCAGAACGCACAATTGTTAACCATACAGTTTAAATGGATAGAGAATTGCTACATAAATATGTATATTCCTGTCTGAGCCTATACTATAATTGGAATATCTAGTCTCTCCTGGCGGGAAAGTTAAACTATATTTTACAAGCACTTCAGCATTAAATTTAATTCACAAAGACAGTTTGATCGAAAGTCATTATAAGAAACAAGTTGTTTTAAAAAAATATTTACGACGCATTTCATTTCTGTTGTCCAAGGAATGGGGTTACGGGTTAATGACGCTCTCGAAAGTCGTATATGTGACTTAAGGTAGAGACATATATCTAAAGTATCTGTATTTTGTAAGGGAAACATAACTGTGTACATGTACATCTTTTGTTTGCATAATATGCATGCAACTTAATGAACATAATTATGATCCCGAAATCGGACGAGCACATATTCGGCTTCAATTCCAAATCTAATGACCGAAAAAAATAATTCTTTGGACGTTGTAAACAATACAAACTGGCTAATAAAACTGACAATTATTTGTCAATATATGATCTCCTTTTATCAGTTTTAAGATTGAGGAATGAGGGGAGGATACTATGAACAAAATGAAAATATGAACAGTGACTTTCTGTATTCTGTGAATCTTGCTTATTTATTACACTACAAGAAAATATACAAGCTAAACGAGAAAAAATTACGTATGTATTTTGTAACATATTTATCTACTACAAGATGTTTAAAAAATCTAATCGTAAGAGGCAAAATAGCGGCGAGAATTACAGGAATGGATCACTAAATGTCAGAAAAAAACGTTTTAATGTACGGCATTATGGGAAATATCGCTTTCTCGCTCTATCGCTTTATCGCTTTATCACTCGATCGCTTCCTCTACTGACTAACCAAAGTCATATGAAGGAATCGGGTGTTCTTTAACTTCTTTTATATAGTATGTACTGTAAATCTTGAAATTAACGTTAGTGTTAATAATAAATGCAAACAAATTAGCGTAGACTTATTTACCGCATTCGACGTAATAAGCGCCCAGGGCGCTCTCAAAATTAGAATATTATTTTGGTGTAAAAAAAAAATGAGTTGAAAGATGAATTTCGTGGTTTATGCTGACAGCCTGAAATGTTTATGCACGACAGATATATTTTTCCCGAATTTAATTGCCCATAATTAAGTGTGCATATAACGAGTGCTTATTATACGCGAATAAATAAGTCTTGTGTACATTAATCAATCGGAAGGGGTGCTGGGATTGTTCACTAGCCATTATATTAGCAAATAACGCCGTGGGCATTTATTAGAGCGGGGCGCTTATTACGTCGAATACAGCAATTATACTTTGCATTTATGTCTCAGAAATGACTGTTGATAAGACGACCTCACTGAACACTTTGAATAGCGAGAAATACCAACTTGAATATAAAACCAATCAACTATCTATTTCCACATTACGGTTACTGAGAACAATATGTCATCCAAAAACTAGAAATTACATAATGAACATCAGGTAGTATTATTTGCTTGGGTGAGGACTTCCACTTTGATGACATCTACTCCGCAAACAGAATAAGCATTGATATAAGTGTTGTTTTTAGGAAAACACTATTGCCTTTTAGGGAGTACATACTATTCAGCGCTATTGAGCGGTGTTATTTGCTATTTGTTTCGATAACTTGGCCTGGGGGCGGGGGATCCAATAGCTAAATAGGGCCATAAATCAATCAAATTCTTTTTTACGCAGAAATACGTGGATTGTTATAAAAGCACATATGTCTGTACTGTTAAATTATATTTAAGTAGATAGTGAGAAAATTTCAACATTCTCCGTCCATATGTATAATTTGAAATGCGACTTGGAAAAATCTCAGCCCCCCCCCCCCCACACACACACACACATCAGCCCCCCTGACCCCCCCACTTAGACCCCCCTACATCAGCCCCGACTCTTCTCCCACACACACACACACACACACACACACTAAGGACAATTCATTAATGTTGTTTTACGTATATACTTTTTATCGTATAGAAACACATGACGCATGCGACCCATAACGTGGCCAAGAGGGAATATTGCTGTACCGCGAGAAAGCGATAGAGCGAGAAAGCTCCATAGACATGGCATGATATAACTGTAATACTGTCAAAGGCAGCGTTAAACCCAACTCACTTACTCACTCACATAGAGGGGTCTTTTTCTTGCATGAAGATCAAGGAGTCACAATTTGCACTCAATGTTGTTGTCCTGAACATTTTTGCCAAAATATCTATTGTTTTCTTTTTCCTAGAACCTTTTGCCCCAATGTTTCTCTAATGCATATAATTGTACCAAAAAAAGGTTGAAGTGTTGTCAACTAGTAACTTCCAGTGAGCCCCAGAGCATTGTGGCTCTATTTTTTGTAAGATTCAACCATGATGTCTATGTTTTCCAAATGATTATAACTTCAGGAATCAGCAGGAGAGTCAAGTTTAAGTTGCAGAGCTTGAAGGATGATTTGTTTGTGATTGACCCTGTGAGTGGCATCATCAGTGTCAAAAACCCATTGGACCGAGAACAGCAACCCGAGTATAACATAACAGTCATCGCATACAACCCGGTCAGTTCATACATTTTCTGTAAAGTTATACACAACTAACAGTTTGGCTCATATTTTGGTTATGACTTTTCATCTTCACATACCTGGTTTTGTTCATTTTGGACTCAACCCCATGACCTTGTGTCAAGTGTATTAATTTTAGATGGATGATGCTTAGATACGTCTACATATGCTGATTGTAATCTCAAGCCAAAATGAAAGGTCCCCTTTCTCATTACTCACATGACATTGTATTTAAGCCGTACGTTATAAGAAGGCGGGTCTCCATCACAGGAATAATGGCTCAACAACTATCATATGTCGTGATTGAGACCAAGTTTGCTTTGAAGATCATTCACTCATGAAATGAATTGTTTTATTCAGGGAGAATTGTTGGTTTGGCATAAAGGCTTCATTAGTGATCACCATAGTTTAGAAGGAATTATCTGTTTTCGCAGATGATATTGAGGTGTGACACAAAATGTGTGTGTATCCCATATCTTGAACATGTATTTACTTCTTGAAACTATATTGGAATGAGATGAAACTATATGTACATGTCCAGTCAGTTCACAGCTGAGATTGAAGGTCAGGGTTATTATTCCCAGTCACAAGGTGGAAGGGGGATATAGGAATGGGTGCCATCCGTCAGTCCTTCCGTCCGTCCGTCCGTCACATTTCGTTTCTGGAGCAGATCTTGAAAACCGTACCATATTTCTTCACCAAACTTGGCACATAGATAGGTCTGGTGGTGAACTGGTGCCTTTTGATAGTTTGGGATTTTAAATAATATTATTTTTCGAGTTTCCATGGCAACGACTTTGATTTAGACTGAAAATGGCTGTAGTCCTTGTTTCCGGAGCAGATCTTGAAAACCGTACCATATTTCTTCACCAAACTTGGCACATAATGTCATCTCGCAGTATTGAATACATTTCCATTCTTGTTGGTAAGTTCTGTATTGCTTGAGTGTATGTTCCTCCAAAAGTGTCATGGACACGGTTGTTGCATTAACCGACTAACTTCATGCAGAAACGCAACTCATTACAAAAGCAACAGTATAACTGATCTTAAACCTACTCAACTGTATAAACACTGCCTCCTATCCTGTATATATTCTTGTCAACCATACTCTGTACTTCACTTGCTTGATAACGGTGTTAGAACCTACACCGAAACCATCGCTCCTAATTGTAATAAGGAAGTTGTTTGTCCATATGTCTCATCCTTACTTATTACAAATACAGTTACATATTCTATCATAAACTGCAGATGGCAAAACAACACCAGTAATAACTTTTTTACTGCTGCAATTAGGCCATTTACATAAAGGCCCAGTGAACATAGTTCACAGGAGCTAATGCATTGCACACAACCGGACATGTAATATTGGTGGGGGATATGAGTATTTCATGCATGTTAAAATGGTAGTGCTCATAACTATATTTTAAAAAAGGTAGCTACAGTTATGTCTCCGAAACCAGAAGCATTGTTATTGAACTGGAAGTGGTTATAACTTTGTTGTTTAGGTAGCTAGAAGCATAAGGACTATCTTTGAAAGTTGATTCAAAATGGTTCGTGGGACATGTTTCTGATTGGGAAGGTTATATGGCATTCAGGAAAAGCTTGGGATGGGGCTGCATTTGTATCTGTATGTAAATTGTAATGCAAAGCACCTTTGTAGTTAAATGTTGTATGCAGAAAAACATATGTTACATTTTGTTCCCCACTTGACCTTAATGTAAAACTGGCTGCCATATGGTTATCATGTTGATTATCTAATACCTGGTGATGTCTTTCCTGTTTCAGTTGGTATATATCGGTCATTTGTATAGTTACTGATATAGTCCTCAATAGGAGTGACATCGAACCAAATGTGCATAGAAATGAAAGAGGCATGAGTCAAGATGCACTAGCTTTATATTTTCACAAACCTAAAGTGACCTAAAGGTTGGAAGATATGCCCTATTAAATTTGTGTTGGAGACACTGAATCTTATGATTTGAAGTTGAACTGTATTGGGCATGTTTTTTCTCCTATTTGAAATAATGTCATTTGATCAGATGTTTATTTTGGTTTCTTATTAGCCAAGCTAAGCATAATTTAAGAAATGATGAAATGTTTAAAAATGTTTTAGAAAGTTATTAAATTAAATATTCTTTCAATACATACATGTTTGGCACTTAAAATAATTCTAAAAGAATAATTGAAATGAATATGTTGACAAGGCAAAAAAGGGGCTAAAAATGATGGACTAGGAATCATTTTGTAAGTATATAAAAACATAGTGATTTAAAAACTTATTTGCAGCTAAGGGCTCAGGGTAACACTAAGGTCAAAAACCTTGGACTCAATTTGGAAACACTGTTCATTTAAATTTGAAGAAAGACAATTTGAAAAGAACATCAAACAAAAGAAAAATATTTGGGGGAAAGATGTAGGCAAAAGCTACATTCATCTCAAATCGAACAAATCAAAATCTGTTCAAGAATTCTTTAGATGACCTTTATTAAACTTGGTTTAACATAAGATGCTGTGAGATGAATGTCATGCAGTCCTGGATGTCTGTGAAAGAGGAAATGATGATATGATTCTGAGGAAGTCAGGCAATACATAACTTATGATTTTAACATATTTTAACTTATAACTTTCTAAATGAGATAGCTGGTGCTAGTGACCATGTTGTATGATGGTGTTGCCAGGCAGCTCTACTATACTCATTTGAACATTTCAATCTTTACTGACTGAAAGACGATGAGATAATATTTGTTTCAGGGATTTCCTGATTTTTCCACCAGCATTGATTTGCATGTCTTGGTTGGAGATGAGAATGACAACCCACCCAAGTTTCATCTTACTAAATACACTGCTGCTATAAGAGAGGATGCTGATTTACAGACTGAGGTCATTCAGGTTCTCGCAACAAGTCAGGATATTGGCAAAAATGCAGAGATAAAATACACTCTCACAGGAGGCAACGAACAAGGAAAATTTGCAATTGATTCTGACAGAGGTATGTTATTATTTTTGTTTAGTAGCTCACCTGACTGAAAGTCCTGTAAGCTTATATGATTGGCTGCTTCCCTGCCTGTAAATGTCTTCAGAAACCCCTCCTGTTTTTGTTCCCACCAGTGATCATACCTCAGAGTCCAGTTTGCAATAGGGCAAAGTAGTTGCCATTTCTGTTAACTTTTTGTACAGATTGTAATGAAATTAGTTTAGTTTGTTGAGGGATACATCAAGTCTTGCAATATTTTAAATTCTGACCTAGTGTTGACTGTGTTCTTAAAGGGGCACTGATCTAACGCAATTCCCCGGGACTGGTTGTTGCCTTTGTTATTGTTTTTTCCCAGTGAGTACCCGGATGTATAGCAGAAATCTAGACTAGGTCGCGACCTCTGCTGCGCCATTCGTAAGCGCATTAGTCACTTTTATGGATACCGGTAGTAATAAGGGCGTATGGTCACATTGATCAACAAAATGAAATACAGTTTTTGAGAAAATAAGGAAATGTAGGTATCTTTGTGGGTAGCATCGGTAATGGTGACGAAGTTTTGATTAGTCACTTGCTTGGTAATTGTGCGATTTTCGTTTACACTATTTTGACTTGCAACACAAAGTAAATATTTCTCCTGAGCATTGCTTTTTTTTATAGTCTGTATATTTATTTACTGTCAAAATGTGTAACATATTTATTAAACGTATAAATATTCAGTTAAGTGACTGAAAAACATTTCCATCTGTATTATTATGATAACGAATTCCAAACATTTTGATGTTTAATGTCATCACCAAGAGACTGAAAATATTACGTTGAAAAGTACATTTCTATGTTGTTTGGCTTCTAATCCTACATAATAATCTGTTGTGATGTTTGTAGGCCCTTTTGATAGTCTTAATCAATCTGGACAGATTTTTTAGTCAAAATGACTGAAATATTTACACATTTTATAAATTGCCTGAGAGAATCACATTTTACAAATTGACGGTAATATATACATGCTTACAAAGGAAAAGACCTGTGAAAACAATGTCTATCGCGCATTGAAGAATTTCCAACCAAGACGTAGAGAAACAAGAACGAATCAGTTCAAATGAAGGAAAACAAAATGCAAATACCATAATTACAACCTACCAAATTTATGTGTATAAATTTTAGGCAGCTTCCTAGTTCGAGGAATGTATCCGTGAACATCCACACAAAGGAACAATATCCAACTCGTCTGAAGCTATACAAAGAAACTTATTCGATGTCACGTGTCTCTGTAACAATCAAATATTCTAAAAGATATATATCGTTTCGGGATATTATAACCCGTGTTCGTTTCTCAACTGATCACTTGGATTGTTTCAGGTGTTTCACATAGGTGTCAAGCCTCAAGGGTCGGCTGAGAAAGCCCACGTGACAACTATTTTCATAACGTCCACGGTTCCTAAAAAATCCATTGAGTGATAGATAACAATGATCAATCAATCAACGTATTATCAGTTAACCCTTTGAACAAAGTATGTTGTTTTTACATCGGCACTTCACGCCATGATATGAGTGTATTCCCTTTGTTTTAGTAAACCTAGACATGTAAACACTCACTTTTGACATATCCACTGTGCAAGATAACAGTGATTAATCAATCAACGTATTTTCTGTTAATCCTTTGATGACTAGGAATGATCATTGATTTACAAAAAAGTAAATCAACTGATCATTCATCTCTTGCTGGGCTGCCACATGCATATTACTTAACACACATTTCACCTCACTTGAAACCTGGATTTAGATTGAATAATTACCCCAGACACAATAAATGCCAAATGGGAACCTTTGTCAGGTAATCTATGTGGTGCTACCATTAATTGTACCTGTAATAAATTCATTAACTGAGCATCAAATGAATGACGACAAATACACAAGTGTAGGGTTATACGAGAAAACGTGGATGACAACAAGGGAGTAGAAATTGTATTATCGACGCAATCCGAAATCCGAAAATGCTTTCACTGCATGAATACTTTTTTAATATTAAACTATAACCATCTGGGGTATTTCCAAATGACGACATCCGATGAGCTCCGCCGTTCTTTTTGTCTGTTTGTTTAGGCTGAAGAAATTAATTAACATGCGCCCTTTGTCGAAATCTTTATAGATCACAGTTTACCAATCAGTGTTTATGCAAAAATGTGTAAAACAAAAATTGCCTCCAGCCTCCAAGTTTATTTAGCTGTCCTTGCAGACGGTAGCCCAGTCTCTGGTCACGCTCAGTTGCATTGCGTATCATCCGGGTACTCACGGGGGGGGAAAACAATAACAACGGGAACAACCAGTCCGGGGAATTGCGTTAGATCAGTGCCCCTTTAAGTTTTCAAAAGGCACATTTGCTTCTGTAAGTTCTTCTCTGAAATTACCTGACTGGGGGAGTTGAATTTTGGCATCATTTTATGTTCAAAATCTTTAGATTTTAATGTAAGTTTTTTGTCATATAAAATGTATGGAGAAAATATTTAAATTTCAATTCTGACAGTCGCTTTCATAAAGTGTCGGCCGGTGTTGATACAGTAAACTGTTGAGTACTTATCAATGTTAGCTACATTGCTTTGGCAATACTTTTCCATAGTACTGCGACAGTTTAATACAATAATGAAATTTAATTTGCTGATCTTAATTCGAACACCAGTGAGTTATCTCAAGTAGCCCATTTGAGCAAATTCATTTATCATTTCCATTATTTTTGTGGCAAACAAACAAACAAACAAAAACAAATCATTTCCTGTAGTTGCAGCTGCATCCCTTTCCAGATTGCTTGTGGAAACAATTGGTTCAGCCTGTGATGCACTGTTAGTCAAATAGGGCACATGAAATAAGAGCTATTTCTACATCATAAATTTTGCCCTTTGTGATTTCGGTTGGTCACATCTTCTGAGCTACAGTTTATGAAAGTCAAGAGAGCTTAAGTTGTGGCCTGTTTGTCCAGTGTCTGTCCATGTGTCCATGTGTTCTGCTTAGTCAGCTATGTGTCGTAAACATCTCTCCTGGAACTGGAAAGCGTTCCCCCCAAAGCAGTGCCAGTGTGAATTAGTAATTACAGCCCCTCCTCTTCCCCATTTCAGGAATGATTCTTGTTGCTGAACCTCTGGATCACGAGCTGTCTAAGGAGTATTTCTTGACTATAACAGCTACTGACAAAGGAGAGACTCCTCTGAGTTGCAGTACAATCGTCAATATCAACATTACTGATGTTAATGACAATGCTCCACAGTTTGGTCAGAGTTCCTACTCTACATCAGTGAAGGAAGATGCACGTAAAGGAACAGAGGTCATCAGAGTTAGTACTAATGTTGTTCAATTCTTTGATCAATACAAGTTCATTTTGTTTGCGTATTGTTTCCCTTTTTAGCTCATGTGACTGAAAGTCATGTGAGCTTATGTCATGGTCTGCTTTTCAGGTGTTGTCATCATCAGCATCTGAAAACATCATCTCAGAAACCACTGGACCAAAAGAGCTAGAATTTTACATGCTTGTTCCGACCAATCATGACATCTGAATTGGTTGAAGAGGTTTGAATGTTAGTATGGACATCAAGGTAGCCATACTGGTAATTGCCTTTGTTATTGTTTTTTCCCGTGAGTACCCGGATGATATAGCAGAAACCTAGACTAGTTTGCGACCTGTGCTGCGCAATTCGTAAGCGCATTTGTCACTTTTATTGATAGTATAAGGGCGTATGGTCACATCTATCAACAAAATGAAATACAGTTTTGGAAATAATAAGGAAATGTAGGTATCTTTGTGGGTAGCATCGGTAATGGTGACGAAGTTTTGATTAGTCACTTGCTTGGTAATTGTGCGATTTTCGTTTACACTATTTTGACTTGCAACACAAAGTAAATATTTCTCCTGAGCATTGCTAATTTCATTGTGTTTAAATTATTATCCCCCGCCGCGCGAAAGCGCGAAGCGGGGGATATAGTATTCACGACCGTCCGTACGTACGTCCGTACGTCCGTACGTCCGTACGTCCCACCTGTTTGTTGCCGCGATATCTCAAGAACTAAACACTGGATTGTCTTCATATTTGGAACTATGGTGTATATACAGACTCCGCAGACACCAGTCGGTTTTGGTGACCTTGATCCCATTTTCAAGGTCACAGCAGACAAATCTGCTTTTAGAGTTGGAAAACGGTGTTGCCGCGATATCTCAAGAACTAAACACTGGATTGTCTTCATATTTGGAACTATGGTGTATATACAGACTCCGCAGACACCAGTCGGTTTTGGTGACCTTGATCCCATTTTCAAGGTCACAGCAGACAAATCTGCTTTTAGAGTTGGAAAACGGTGTTGCCGCGATATCTCAAGAACTAAACACTGGATTGTCTTCATATTTGGAACTATGGTGTATATACAGACTCCGCAGACACCAGTCGGTTTTGGTGACCTTGATCCCATTTTCAAGGTCACAGCAGGCAAATCTGCTTTTGGAGTTGGAAAACGGTGTTGCCGCGATATCTCAAGAACTAAACACTGGATTGTCTTCATATTTGGAACTATGGTGTATATACAGACTCCGCAGACACCAGTCGGTTTTGGTGACCTTGATCCCATTTTCAAGGTCACAGCAGACAGATCTGCTTTTAGAGTTGGAAAACGGTGTTGCCGCGATATCTCAAGAACTAAACACTGGATTGTCTTCATATTTGGAACTATAGTGTATATACAGACACCGCAGACACCAGTCGGTTTTGGTGACCTTGATCCCATTTTCAAGGTCACAGCAGACAGATCTGCTTTTAGAGTTGGAAAACGGTGTTGCCGCGATATCTCAAGAACTAAACACTGGATTGTCTTCATATTTGGAACTATAGTGTATATACAGACACCGCATACACCTGTCAGATTTGGTGACCTTGACCCCATTTTCAAGGTCACAGCAGGCAAATCTGTTTTTGGAGTTGGAAAACGGTGTTGCCACAATATCTCAAGAACTAATTGCTGGATTGTCTTCATATTTGGTACTATGGTGTACAGGCGGGGGATATTTCGTCACTCTGTGACAAATACTTGTTTACAGTCAAAATGTGCAAAATTTTCACTTAGGAAATTTATTAAACGCCTGAATATTTAGTTATTTTACAAATTGACTGAAAAATATGTCCATCTGTATTATTATGATAACAAATTCCAAAGAATTCCAAAAAGTACATTTCTATGTTGTTTGGCTTCTAATCCTACATAATAATCTATTGAGATTTTTATAGGCCCTTTTGATCGTCTTAATCAATTTAAGTCAATCTGTTAAAGAAATGGACAGATTTTTCAGTCAAAATGACTGAAATATTTACACATTTCATAAATTGCCTGAGAGAATCACATTTTACAAACTGACTGTAATATATGTACATGCTTACAAAGGAAAAGACTTGTGAAAACAAGGTCTATCGTGCATCGAAGAATTTCACAACCAAGACGTAGAGGAACAGGAATGAGTCTGTCCAATGCTACAGCAAATGAAGGAAAACATAATGCAAATATCATAATTATACAACCTACCAAATTTACGTGTATAATTTTAGGCAGCTTCCTTGTTCGAGGAATGTATCCGTGAATATCCACACAAAGGAACAATATCCCACACGTCTGCAGATGTACAAAGAAACTTATTCGATGTCACATGTCTCTGTAACAATCAAATATTTTTTAAAATATATATCCTTTCGGGATACATAAGCCTGCGCGACAACTATTTTCATAACGTCCACGGTTCCTAAAAAAATCCATTGAGTTAGATAACAATGAGCAATCAATAAACACATTGGTTAACCCTTTGAACAAAGTATGTTGTTTTTTCATCGGCACTTCACACCATGATATGAGTGTATTCCCTTTGTTTTAGTAAACCAAGACATGTAAACACTCGCTTTTGACATATCCACTGTGCAAGATAACAGTGATTAATCAATCAATGTATTTTCTGTTAATCCTTTGATGACTAGGAATGATCATTGATTTACAAAAAAGTAAATCAACTGATCATTCATCTCTTGCTGGGCTGCCACGTGCATATTACTTAACACACATTTCACCTCACTTGAAACCTGGATTTAGTTTGAATAATTACCCCAGACACAATAAATGCCAAATGGGAACCTTTGTCAGGTATTCTGAGCGGTGCTACCACTAATTATACCCCCGACAAAATGTCGGGGGTATATAGTTATACCAAGGTTCCGTCCGTCCGTCCGAAAACTTTGTCCCGCGATTTCTCTTAAACTATTCAGTGGATTCATCTCAAACTTAGTACATATAATCTGTGTCATATGGAGGGGTGCAGTCAAAAGAAAATATTGTTTTTATTAATTTTCCATTTTTTAATGAACTTTTCAAACCCTAACATCCGTCTGAAAACTTTGTCCGTGCGATTTCTCTTAAACTATTCAGTGGATTCATCTCAAACTAAGTACATATAATCTGTGTCATATGAAGGGGTGCAGTCAAAAGAAAAAAAAAAGTTTTTATTAATTTTCCATTTTAAAAAAAAAAATTCAAACCCTAACGTCCTTCCGAAAACTCTCAGATATTGGAGTCTAGGGGGAACCCTTCCTAACCCTATCCTAGCTATTTAATTTGTAACTACACACTAGGCGGGTCGGGGGTATTAGTGAGCCACGCTCACTTTTGCACTTGTTATACCTGTAATAATTTCATTAACTGAATTCATCAAATGAATGACGACAAATACACACAAGTGTAGGGTTATACCAGAAAACTAGGATGACAACAAGGGAGTAGTAATTGTATTATCGATGAATTCCGAAATCCGAAAATGCTTTCACTGCATGGACACTCTTTTATTATTAAACTGTAACAATTATATAACTATTTCCAAATGACGACATCCGATGTGCTTCTTTTTGTCTGTTTGTTAAGGCTGAAGAAATTAGTTAACATGCGCCCTTTGTCGAAATCTTTATAGCTGACGGTTAACCAACCAGTGTTCAAAAATGAGTAAAACAAATATTGCCAAGTTTATTCAGCTGTCCTTGCAGACGGTAGCCCAGTCTCTTGTCATGCTCAGTTGCGTTGCGTATCATCCTGGTACTGGGAAAAAACAATAACAAAGGCAACTACTAGTCTCGGGGAATTGCTTTAGATCAGCAAAAAGTTATTGATAGCCATTACTCAAGTCGTTTTTTTTTTAAAATGAAATGGAATTTGGTGTGTGTGTTGCTAGCTGTGGGACTCAACAGACGTGTGCAGTGTATCATGATATTTACATTGTTTGTTGATCTTTGTCCTTTCTCTCAAAATGCATTTAATTTTTTGAAGTACCTTACCCCTTATGACATCATAGCCATTAATTCTGTTTTGGCTGTAAAAAATCTTCAGATTTTACAACAGATATCGTCTTCTCCGACAGTTATCTGATGAGTATTGCATGGGAAGCAATATCAAAACTGAGCTACTGTTCTAGACCAGGTGGGAATATGTCACCTCATTTCTGTGTGTGCTTTGGTCAACAGAGAAACATTTTCCCAGTTTTTCCTAGTACTTTATTTTCTTATCTTGACACTGATATTATATTTTAAGGGTGGTTTTTTTACCATTCTATGAGTTCTATGAGTCATCTTGCAACATTATTCATGCAAGAAGAGTTTGTGTTTAAGTTTTTTGTGTGAATTGTGGAACTCATCAGATTCCTATGGACCCTGATAGTGCCGATACTATATGTTTCAAGTGCAGGGATATCCTGGTCACTATGGTTTCTCTTACTGGGAAGGAGTTTGGTGGATTATTGAAGGCCTGGAAACCCACTAGCCCAGGGTATTCTAATTCTAGAGTAAGACTGAGGAGGACAAGATAAAGTACCCAATTTAAAGCTGGTGATTGGAGCATGGTGTCCTTGAGAACCAGGAGCTGCAGGTCCACTGGGACTCAGATATAGGCAGTACTCTATACCAAAATTGAACAAAGTTGTGAATGGACCAGAGCACATAAATACTACTACTATTTGGTAGCCTCTTAGGGCCTCACAAAGCACAGGAAATGTTCGTTCTTATCCTGTAAGTCAACATGTGCCTAGGATACCACCAAGGCAACAGTAGCACGATGGCTCTAGACCACAATTACAAACAGTTATCAGCTGTCAACTGTCCATGCCTACACTTGTTAATTGCAGAGCTCACAAGATTTAAACCTTACCTGAAGGTCTTCAGCAACCCATTCTTGTTGTAAGAGGCGTCTAACGGGATTGAGTGCTCAGGTTTGCTGGTTTATGCATGTAATCGTATCCCAATTACGTGAATCTATGCTCATGATGTCAATCACTGGATTTCTGGTCCAGACTCGATTAACTACAGACCGCCGTCATATTGCTGGAATATTGCTGTGTGTGTCGTTAATTAACAAACAAGCAAACATGTCTGGAAGTCTCTATGAGTTGTCAGAACGTAATGTTCATGAAGTGATGTAGGAATCAGTAATCAACACAGCGTTAGAAATTGGCGCTAGTCCTGTACTTCTTGCCAAACTGGCCAATGGGTAAGGTATTCCGAGGACTAGTAGAAATTTGCCATTTTTCATGGTTTTGCCATATGTTATCTTTTTTAGGACTTGTGGACTAAAATGTTAGTTTATACCTCTGATACGTGTCATGATGGTATATCAAGGAAGTGCATCAGAATTACTTGTGTGTCATCTACATGGGAGTATCGTTAAAATGTATTAAATGTGTAAATCTCGTCAGTACATGGGAGTGTGTGTTTTCATCCCTCGTGGAGTACTTCAGAGCTGCTTTATCAACCAGAAGTGGCATCATTACAGGAAGTGATATGAACTGGAAGTGATATGAACCAAATATGAGATCACTATCATAATTAGAAGTGTCGTGGTACAACGGGAGTGACATTAAAACCGGAATTAATGTGATCTAGATAGGAAGTGACATAATCCAGATGGTGAGTGACGTATAAAGTTGGATGTGATGTCAAAGATAACAGTTGGTTGGTTGGTAGGTTGTTTAACACTGCACTCAGCAATATTCCAGCTATATGACGGCGGTCTGTAAATAATCAAGTCTGGACCAGAAAATCCAGTGATTGATATCATGATCATCGATCCACGCAATTGAAATACGATGACATGCATCAACCAAGTCAGTGGCCTGACCACCTGATCCTGTTAGTCGCCTCTTACAACAAGCATAGTCGCCTCTTACTACAAGCATAGTCGCCTTTCACGTCAAACATGGGTAGCTGAAGACCAAAGATAACAGAAGTGATGTCAGGATGATGCAGGTGTCACAAGTTTTCTGAAAATTCAGTATTGTGCATTTTGCTTACTATTTCTTCATGTTACCTATTCACTGATGTCAGCTATCGGGGATTACTAGATGCCAGGTCCCACCATTCCCTCTGGGGTATTCTGGCTATGATAATAATATGATAATGATAATAGAAGTAAGGCATTCGAAAGAATTATCAAACAATAGTTATCATTGTGAATAATTCTGAGAATACTACCTCTAATACATCAGCATTAATCCCTCCCACCTGCTCATGTATCAGTCATCTACGATCTTGATTGTTGGTAAGAAGTGACGTGTCCCTGCCTTATGCTGGTACAGTAGGTCAGTTTTGGTACCATTTCCCGCTCAAATACTCCTTAGATAACTGGCAGTGAAGAGGACATCAGTTGAAAAATCTAAACATTTTTAAGGTGTGAAAACAGCCAAAACAAAATTTGAGGCTATGATGTAAAAAAAGGTAGTATTCTTAGAAATATTCAGAATGAGAATAACTATTGTTTCATTTTCTTCCTCAGAAACCACTGAAACTGAAACTACATGTGCTTTTTGCCCAGTAATGATGACACCTGAATTGTTCAAGATTTTCGAATCCCGCTTTTCAATATGGCTGCCATTTTGAACTTTGACCTTGTTTTAACCATGCTCTCAGATTTTATAAAAATCAATATTTGCTTCTATAAATGTCTCCTGAAATTGCTGGAGTAAGGGAACCAAACGATGGCATGATTGCTTCTTATGATGGCAACTTATTTTGTTCATATCATTAGATTAGACATGTGAGCTTCAGTCCTGTGGTAATATTTTGCATGTTTTCATATGTCTGAAGCAACTATGTCTGAATTCTTGCTTTTTGTCATATTTACTGAATGGTCACTTTCCTGCAGGTACAAGCCACAGATGTAGACAGTCTATCAAATTCACAAATCCACTACTCACTTGTTAGTGGTGACATGGAGGGGAAATTTACCATCGGCAAGGATACAGGCGTCATAAGGATCAAAGAGACACTCGACAGAGAAATGGTAATATTTCTTCTTAAATTAATCGTACCAATTTCACATCACCTGGAAGTAGCAGAATGCTAAAGACAACATTTAAGTCAAAAACAATCTCATTGAAGTTGTGTTTCTTTCGCAGAACAAGTTATTTGTGAATAGACACAAATTCTGTGACACCATATGCATATATCTTATTATGCCTTCCTATTAGTTTAAGGTGAAACTGCTTTGTCATTGAAAGTAACTGGTATTTGGCTCCAGATTGACCACTATGCCCTGATTATTGAGGCTGAAGACTCTGGGGATCCCAAGTCTCGTTCTGCTACCACTGTTGTGTCTGTGTATGTCCTGGATACCAATGACAACCCACCTCGTTTTACTCAAGCAAACTATACAGCAAGAGTTCAGGTGGGTACCATTTCCTCTTTTCAACGTCTATTAGGACCAGTAGAAATTTTGAGGTAAATGCACACTTTCATATAACGAATACACTATACATAACCCAACCAAAATCAATCTTTGGGAAATGTATTTAGTTCACCTGGGCAAAGCCCATGTTAGCTTATGGCATGGCCTATTTGCCTGTTTATTCTGCTCACCATCACACCCCCAAATCATTGTGTATTCCCCCTAAACACATTGCAGTGGCTATGTTTATTGCAACTCTTCTTGTCCTACTTTATATCAAATTCTATCATGGTTGAGGTGAGATCAAAGCTGCCGCTCATCAGATGGTACTGTATGTTGTCACGTGAACCCACCACATAATGTTCCTATTTCTTAAGTCCACATTCATCTCAGTAAGGTCAAGGTTACCGAGTTTGAAATAAGTGTAAAAAAGCTTGTCTATGGTCTAGCTTGATTACATACAAATGGTATTTGATAAAACTTAGTACACATTATCTCTAAGGCCTGGTCTCGGTCTCATTCACATTTGCATTTACTTTGCGCTTTTAAGTTAATTCATGGATTCTCAAAAATTAACTCAATACCTGTGATGTGTCATGGTTGTGTCAAATGTCAAGGTCACTTTGAAGGTCATTCGTTCATGAAATGACTTGTGAATAGTTTCTTTAAGAAAGTATAGGCAGTGTGACATTAAGACTTCATATTTGTAGCATGCGAGATCACGACAAGTAATGTTCTTGCATGGGATGGGATAATGTTGAAGGTCAAGGTCCTTCAGTGTAATTGTGGCTTAAGTACATATCATTAAGGTAGCTGTAAGCATAGGACTTTCTCTTTCATGGTTGTACAGTTAATTGGACATACGTTTTCCCAAGCCAGACTTGCTTACAACTTTGTTAATGAGGTAGCAAGCTATTGATTTTTAAGTATGCACTGCATTGGAATGTGTGGGGTCAACTGTAGGCTTATTTGAGAAAACCAAAATGGGGTTAGACATATGCTTTGGGATATAGACCTTTTGGGGCATTTAGGCAAAGGTAGAGATAGGGCTTCTTCATGTAATGCAAACTCCTTTCTAGTTTTTTTTATGCAGTAATATATTGCATAGAATAAGAGTGATTTGTTTTCAAGTTGCATTCTTTTAACAGTTTGGTTCAATGAGTATTAATAGTTCAGTTGGGAGAATGTCATTAAGGTTTGTCATTAGGCTAGCCAGAGACAAGATACTATAGGGTTGTTTCCAAGGTTTTGAGATGTTTTATTGTTCATGGCAAAACTTTACCTCAATACACTACTTATGGGGGAAGAGGAATAAAGTATATATCCTTGCTAAGATGCCAAAATTAGGACTAGCTTTGTCTTTTATTGAAGATGGGTTAAAGATCAAATCTGTAATAAGCGATGCTGTACATTTAAAATCCTCAGAGAGGGCTGACAGGCTGTTCCACCTTGTTGCCAGCACCCTGGTAACTTAAGTGGTTAAATAAGTTGTTTTTTACAGTTTTGTCTATATCAATTTGGTTGTTTGATTACATGACTTACCGGTAGTAAGTGCCTGATGGAGCTGAGCTAGCACTTGTAAACTAGCTGATGTTCTGTTTCACTGGTTATTGTGAGTTGAAGTGTTCATTTTCTATAAAGTTGCAACTTATGTTTCCACCACTTCCGTCAGCAGATTGCAGCAACTCAATGACATGAAATGGAGTGCCTAACAAGTTGGTTACATGACATGGTACTGTAACCGTCAATTGCAACTGACATGAATAGACAGCATGGGACGTAAAATGAAACTACAGACATTCACTTTCACAATTATTGATGGGTCAGCTGCACTGTAATATTTAACACACTGAGTATTACTTGTGTGAAAATCCATGAATTAATGAAGCTGTTGATCCTCTGTGCATGCATGATTGATATGACTTCTTAAAATGCAGACCAGCACTGGTTTCTGGTTTGACACATTAAGATGTTTACGTGTAGGTTATAGTATATAACCAGGTGAGCTACAGTGCTTTGTATTATGCTGTTAGAAATACTGGTATAAGCACAGAATGCTATGATATGTGTCCTCATATGCTGTTGGATTTCAAGCACATGCTACAAGGATAATAAGAGATTGTAATTGTTATTCATTTTGTTTTCATCACCCCTTAAGGTCATACTTGTATTGTTCCATATTATCTGTTCGTAAACTAGAGCCTTTGTGATTGCTGTTAGAAGTGTCCAAGTGTAAGTTGTTTGTTTCCCCGAATGTCGGCCTATTTGTGATAGCAACTTTGAGGCTGCACTATTTTTGTAGGATGACAATTCTTTTGGATTCTAGTTATAATCAAACAAATCTTAACACATAAATCCTTATTCAATACAGCGATCTGATCTAATGAAAGTAAGTGAAGTACTTTTCAAGTTAATATTTAACTTATGATAATTTGTTGCATGTTGATTTTGTAGACGTTTCAGTTGCTATTTGATTTTAATAGCTTGATTCTTGTATGTGTCCTTGCAAGCAATACTCTTATTAAGGCCAGTTTTTGTAGTGAATTGTGAATCAAGGTTTATTGTCTTGAGTGCTCTGTCAGAAATGATTATTGCGTGTTCATCTTCACAGGTTAGTGTTCTGGGTGGATGCCATTTGTAGCCCCAAGGACATCATCTAACACATTGGATTGCATCATTACACTTATAACAGATATAAAGTCTACATGTGTTGTTGTCTTTCAATGTAGATGTGTTGCAATGTGTTTCTTGAAATAGATGTTGTTACATATAGTGTGATCATCATGTCATAAGATTAACTGGCACTTAATCTAGCTCTGTATGAGGAAGACTTGTCCTGGCATGATGCCCGTTGTCGTCAAATGTCACACATTATCTTTTCTTTCATGAAAATCAGATGCTTTTGCCATGTATTGAAACAGAATGGTGGAATAGTCACCATTTTATTGTTTGCACATACCTCTACAAATGTGATCTGTTCTCGGAACTCGTTGATGGCCTAAACGAAATAGCTGACAGTTGTGATTATGTTATCTACATATGCACGCTGACATGCTTGAAGTAGTCAACATGGCAAAAACATCAATAGAGCTTTAGTGCCATTGCTTTAGTTGAATTTTATATGAACATCAGTGAATGCATTTACATGGCCCGAATGATATTATGAGAGTTTTTATATTGTTCTGTAATAGTTTGCATGAGTATACCAGTAGCAGGATACAAAAGCTATTTTATTGTGTAGATGCACTCCTATTTCCCTGCATGTTTACGAACAGTGCATGATAAATCCCAGTTTTGTCACACTGCTATGTTATAGCTTATTCTGCTTAATGAAGTCAGTAGCGACGTTCTTATGTTTCTTCAGTAGTACAATGCTGAATGATTGATTTATTCTTTGAAATATATGTAAATATGTTCTTTGACAAGACTGATAAGTACTAGATAATAGCATTTCAATAGATGTTCATATTATACTTCTCGTTTACTCACAGTATTACTGCAAATATGTTTCAGGAAGGACGTCGAACTGGTGACAGCATACTGATGTTCATGGTAACAGATATTGATTTGGTAGAAAATGGGCCTCCTTTTGATTTCGATATCATCAGTGGAAACAGTAATAGGGAATTTCATATGAGTAATGATGGGGAGCTGAGCCTAGCTGGAAAACTAAACAAAGAGCTAAGAGACACATATGAACTGACAGTTCGCGTATATGACAGTGGAAGACCAAGTCAGTATGCTGATACTACAGCCACCATCTATGTGGTTGATGAAAGTATGCATGCCCCTGTCGTGCGGAATTTGTCCATTACTATCAGTTCATACAAGGATAAGTTTCCAGGAGGTGTCATTGGAAAAGTAGACTACAAAGATGATGATCCCTATGATACAGTTATCTTCCAGGTTGTTTCCAATAACCGTTATCTGTTTGATGTTGATCGCCACAACGGAAATGTTATTGCACTACTTGGACTCGATGCTGGCCACTATGAAATCAATATCAGTGTTAGTGATGGAAAGTTTACAAGTTTTTCTCAAGTCTCTGTTGATGTTGTATCAATATCTGAAGAAATGGTTGACAATGCAATTACTATCCAGTTTGCAAATATGATACCTGAACAATTCTTTGCTAACAGCAAGAAAGATTTTCAGGACACCCTTAAAAGAGAACTTGATGTCAGTGCACGAAATATCAAAATAATAAATGTTCAACCAGCAACAGGCCCAAGATTTCCTGGACGATGGAAGAGAGATACATCTAGTAATCTTGATGTTCTGTTTGCTGTGAGGAAATCTGGAGATCGTTTTTTCAAGAAAAACTCCCTCAGGAAGAAAGTGCTGCGCGCAGCACAACGCATTGAGTCAGCTGTTGGTGTGCAAGTTATCAAGGTGTTCAGTGATACTTGTGCAGATGTCACATGCACAGAGGGCACCTGTGTTGGCAGTGTTGTGTTTGACAACAGCAGGCTAACACCAGTCATTGTTGGTGGTGAGAGCTTTGTCTCTGCAAGACATTACTACAGTTACCAGTGTATCTGCCAAGGAGGTAAGTGTAATTCTAGAAATACTTCTCAAATAACTTAAAATTCATGGGTAAAGTAACCCTCTAACTAACTGTTATTTGGCTTATTTATGTCAATGTTTTTTTGACTGCAAAAATAACAAGACCCATGGTATTTTTAGTGATTGGTCAATCTTAAAAAGGGTGACTCATCAAACTGTTGCATACATAATAACTGATAAACTAACTGGTAAAGACCAAAAAGCTACACTGAGAATAATGTTGTTTTAATAAGCAGCCAGTTCATAAAGAAGATGTCAGAATAGTTTCTTCCAGGTATAGTAACTGTTTCCAATTTAACTCTTTTTCCATCTTTTGAGTCAGAATCACGTGGGTTGTTATAATACATTGAATATTTGTAACTGAATCATCAGTAATCACTGATGTGTGAACAGTTGATTGTTACTTTGTTTCACCATAATAATTAATATTAATCTTTTGTTATTAAAACATGCATCCCTTACAGAAAGTACAATTAAGGATTGACTGTATTTTTTTCGGTTCATTGAGGTATGAATCGAAAAACCGATGTGCAAACTTTTGTAAGAATCCGCTATGCGGATTCATACAGTTTGTCAATGCTTATAATTAAATTCGGCAACGAAAACATATAATAGTTTAACCAAAACAGTTGTTTATATAAAAAGCAGACAAAAATGACGAGATTGATAAACATTCACGGTGTAGGAATACATACTGTGGCGTAACATGAATCAGATGATTGTTTAATTTATGCACATAACTTGACACGCCCACACAGTCAGTAGCCAATCAATGGAGAGTATGATTAAGACAAAGTTCATGGGACCTGTCAATCAAGGAAACAGGCGAGAAGAACTGCAACAGACAGACTGTAACGAGCCGAAACAAATATGTCTGGGAGAAGGCAGCTGTTTCAAATGGCATAGTCAGTTACCGCCAGATTCGAACATTAGTTCCCTGAGAACGGGAAGACCCAGTTGGAAAAATGCTAGTTAGAAATGAAACCCGAAGAAATGAAAGTTGTGGCAGCGAGGCAAGCTGGACAAAAATAGGCGAGCGAGTCTGCACATTTGCTGTTTCAGTTGGCAATGACAAAGTCATCATATATTATTGATAACTTCTTTAATATACTATTATAGCTACATTTTGGTATATATCCAGATACTGTTGTCAAACAATTGTTTATTGTACCTTGAAGACAATATTGATGAGAATATTCAAGGTTATGATCATGTTGTTTCCTGTGTTCAGTTTTCAACATTCAGATTATGAATGGTTGATGTTGGTCAGATTCGGATATAGGTGATTTTGCGTTTGTTTGCCACAACGGGGCAAGTGTTATAGATTATGTTATTTGTTTGTCTTAATTGTTTTACCAATGTAGAGATTTTACTATTGCGAGTAGAGCAGAATCCTCACACTTACCTATTACTGTCACTTTGTGTGCAGCAAATGATGGGGAAAGATGTGTCCAAGATTTTATAATTCTTACGTATCCTCTCCCGCTATTACATCATTGCCATAAATCCTGTATTTTGGCTGCAGTAACACCAAACTAAGACTTTCAGTTTTTTCAGCTGGGGATCTCTTCACTGTCAACTATACAACATTGAATGTCCCGAAAATAGCACCGGCAGCTCATAGCTCTTACATGCATAAGGCGGGAAAATCTTCACTTCTTTCTGTGTTTGTTAGAGTCAACACGCCCTACAAAAGTAGACATGCTCTCTAGCACTTAGCTGTGGTCACATTCATTGCTCTACTTTCAGTATTTTGTTATACTATATTGGTATATTAGAATATATTGGTTACTGGGCTTGATCCAGGTGTGTATTGTATTGGTTGTGATTGTGTTTATTTACCCTAACGACCCTTCATGATGGCAGTACCCACATGGTGCAGACGTTTCAACACCATGATCCCCATACCGTTGCAACTATTACCTGAATCATGGATGCCGTTAGAAGAAGAGTCGCACGGACACCATGCGTTCTACTTAACCGTCCGGAGCCTGACTTTTATGATGAGACTTCCCCAGCAGCCTCCAACACTCGTTCAGAAACTCAACCACCACGGTAATTTGGTACTCCTTTATCCTTGTAGACCTACTGGATGCAATATATCAGTATATGCCTAATCTGACTCCCCACACAGATCAGTCCAGCCCATCGTTGATGCCAGAATATGTGGGCTGCCATGCCCCTGTGTCATCCCACATTCATCAGACACTCTGAGCAGAGCTATACACAGGGAATAGTGAACCGCACCTATGATAATCTCCACAGACTCAGGTATGATGACACGCTGCCTCTCCCCAACCTGAAGAAGTTATATCAGACCCACGACCACCAATACCGGAGACATGGGTACTGGATAAAGACTTCTTAAAGCTGGTCAAGAATCCAAGTACAAAGCTTCCTCTTCCCAGTGCCTATATAAATTGGTTCATAGCCGGTGTACGCCTCTTTGTTCCTCCCTCCTCCCAGAGTACAACAAGACTCTGGCAGACAACACTGTACCGATTCGCATTGATCAAGTGTGACTCATCCATAGCCTCAAACTTAAACCCCTTCTATCTCATACCCACTCTTTTAAAGGCTGTCACTTCAAAGGCATGCATGTCATCGATCTCCTACATCTCCATCAGGATAACCATTTTCTTTAAGGAATCATCGAAGAGATACAGGGACATCTCAAGAGATTACACCTTCCAAGAACCACCCTGTAAGAAGTACATCTTTATGAGCAAGGAATCTTTCCAGTCCTTCAAAAACTTGGACATTTCACAGCAGCAAACAACAGAAGGGATTCCATATCAGTCATCCATGGGGACCTGAAGCAACTGACCTATCTTACATCGGAGCACGCTTCCTTCTCCAGGAGGGTCTACTCTGTCCCCCAGAAGATGGTTTTACTGCTATGAGTCACACGATCACCGAGGCCTTGACCTTAACGATTCTCACGATCCGATGGTGGATGTTCCTCCTCGGACAGCTTACCTCACTTAAGGATCTGACCCACAAGCAATGTTTACGATTACGACGTGTACAGGCATGCATAAACGGTATCCAGGACCTCCCTCTAGACACCTTAATTCCCTTACTGATCACGTTCCACAATCACCTCCTGTGGTGGACTTGCCGAAATCATGTCATGACAGGCATTCCTATTATCCCTCGCCCACCAGAACATCGTCTGTTCACGAATGCCTGAGAGCTGGGGCGCCCATCTAGCAGACCTCCAGATACAGGGTCTATGGATGGAATCGGAACGGGCTCTCCAAATCAAATGCAGAGAGATGAGGGCAATATTCTATGCAATCCAACATTGGAAGGATCTCCTCACCAACTCCTCTGTTCTTCTTTCCATGGACAACACTGCAGTTGTGGCCTACATACAGAAGCAGGCCGGGACAAAGTCCACCTCTCTGATAATGGAGACCTCACGTTTGTTCAATTTGGCCGACTCATTACCTTACTGGATGGAAACGAGACATATACCAGGGAAACTAGACATCCTCGTGGATAGCCTGTCCAGACATGGCAGGGTCGTATCCACTGAATGGACCTCCCATCCGGACAGATTCTCCTGGATCACATCGACATAGGGAACCACCACCACCTGTGGACCGTCTTCCTCTCTTCTTTACAACAACAGATGGACAAAGTTCATCCAGTGGCGACGACGATTGGGATTAGGAAACATCACCGTCATCGTCACCGTCCCCATCCCCATCCCCATCCCCATCCCCATGGTTGCCATCTTCCTCCTACATCTCCATCAAAATAACCATTTTCTTTACGGAACCATCGAGGGATATTGGAACTGCTATTCATTCATTCCATTCTCCATCATGACGGTTTATTGATCGGCAGTCATCCTGTATTGGATCGGCTTATGAGTTAGTTTTTCCTAGAAGATGTCCATATTCCTCATACCTTCCCAAAATGGAACCTCTCAGTGGTAATCTCAGCGGTAATCTCGGCCCTCCTCATACCGCCTTACAAGTTTCTTGCTTCCGCTACATTACTCTAGAAATATCAGAAAGCAGAGTTCCTCTTATCCATGCCCATTGGGACACAGACATTATGGTGGACCATCCTGACCGACTTTTCTTTGTCCTATCAGAGCCCTTAAATTATATCCCGCTTCTACGGATTGTCCACATCGGAAAAGCCTCTTCATCTCTTGCAAGACTCATTCTGAATAAGATATATATAACTAAGGCCAAGGTCAAGGCTGGCTCAAGACCACGATAGTCTCAGTATATCATCAGGCCCAAGACACTCCTCCCCACTAGGGATTATGCTCCGCTCATGAAATTAGAGCATTCGCCATAAGTCTGGCATCATTGACCTCAAGTTTCACCTACATGTTCCTAAGGTGAGTATGCCTTCTTCTGCTGCTGTCTCTTGTGCCCAGGGCAGGTCTATCACATCATAATGTTAACTTGATGATTGGAAGTGACGTCACATTTGGAAGAGAAATGAGACTGGAAGTGACGTCATTAATACCAGAAGTGATGTCATTAAAGACGTCATTAGGGTCCAAATTACGTCATAAAAGAGAATGACGTAGTTTTAGACTGGAAGTAACATTACAAGTCGGTAGATAAGACCTTTGAACTGATGTAAGAATTATACCAAATTATGATTTCCAGATAGAGGGATACTTAATTGAGGATTTACCTGCCTTACGCATGTAAGAGCTGTGAGCTGACATTGCTATTTTTTGGACAAATAGTGTTGTATAGTTGACAGTGAAGGGGACCCCAGTTGAAAACCTGAAAGTTTTAGTATGGTGTGACTGCAGCCAGAATACAGGATTTATGGCAATGACGTCATGTAGATAGTATTCTTAGAATCATAAACAATGATAACTATTGTTCAATATCTAGTAGTTAGACCTTCAAATGTATGGGATCACAAATTGGAACAATACCAGGTTGTTCTATTATCAGAACAGGTTCAGAATTTAGTAACAAAAGCTGTGGAAACAGAACT